CCCCAAAACCCCAAAACCCCTCGATGTCATAATGAATCGTAAAAGTTGAAGAATCATTAAATAATAAGTTTCAAATTCAATATCTTTTTTAAATCATCAGCTAAAGAACTTGAAAATAGGGATAGGTGATTTTTTCATGAGATAAAATAAGAAAGTGTGACTTAGTGTGCCATTTGAAGTTGTTTCTTTGCCAAGAGTTTTCAAAACAGCTTCAACATGTTCTGCTGGTTTAACATTCAATCCCATATTATCAATATCATCCTTTGCCATGTTAAATGTGCAAGGTAAATCGTTAAGGAAGTCAATGACATCGCCGTACTCAGAATGTAACAGGTTTGTGAAGGCAAGCTGGTATGTTTAAGTTGCTTAATAAACTTAGTATTCTTTCATGTTAAATCTACCATTAGCTCTAACCTTAGATGCAGTAGCAGAACCAACATTAATGATAGCACACTTAGGCTCTTGATGATTCATTTTCGTCAATACAAACTTTGTCATATAAGTGATGGCATTGATGTTTCCATTGATCATCTCTGAAATATCTTTGTAATCCAAACTTTCATAAGATCCCTTCTTTACTTTAGCAAAGTTATTCACCAGCATGGATATCTTAAGATCTGTATTCTCTGTAATATCAATCATAATCTTTTCAAGAGCTTTAAACCTGTCTTGGTCATAAGATTCATCAAAATCAAATAAGAACATTTGAAGCTTTAACTAATTGGTGTGGCCCTCATCTTCTCCAATTAGATGCTTTTTGTGTTTGAGCACATTATCCTCATAATAAGCTTTGAGTTTAGTTTCTAGAGTATCTAATTTTGTCTGGTCTTCATCAATTAATAGAAAATCTGTGTAGCCAGCTCTAATTAAAGCCTCACAATAAGCTGGACCAATACCTTAGGTAGGGCCTGTAATTATGATTTTTCCATCGCCATATTGATTTTAAAGAAAACTTAGTGGTCTAAATTTGTAATACAAGTATTTTCCAACCTCTTTCAAAGGTAGGTAGATAAAGTTTTTGACCATCTTATAGATGCAATATGAGGTAAAGCCAAAGATAATGTACTTGTTGAATTTGAATATCAATTCAGTTGTTTTGAACATATAATAACCGGCTTTGCCAAGAGCCTTAAAAGTGCTCATTACTGAGTATGCGAAATTCATCTTCCTCTTAACTGATTTTTAATAATATATTATTAAATTTTTAAAATTTAAAATGAATTACATCATTTCACTCGTCTGGATTGTTTATGCAACTCTCCAGTCTATAATAGTAAGCTCTTAAATTACTCAGTATTATAGTAATTAAATCTTATAGTTTACCCCTAAGTATCTTGACTATCATATTATTGGAGGTGTTACTACTTCTAGTGCTCAGATTAATATAGTTGTATGTATTTAAAACCTCGAATAATCTTTAATCATTGTTTTTTAGGTTTAACCTAAATTTTTCAAAAGAGAATTAGAAGTTTTGTTTGATTTATATGAAATCAATTAGAGTAACTAGGTCCAATTAATTAAGGCACTGAAGTTTATAAAGTAGTAAAATTCGACCTCAATTCACGTGTAACTTGAAGATCTAAAAGATAATACCGATTATGAATTCAAATATCAGGTCAATCTTATGGATCTAATAGGAAATTCAGGAATATATTCAGGAAAATTCAAGACATTTTCCTCTAATTAAAATGAGTTCAGCTTTGTAGCGTCTACATGTGCAAGAAGCCAATCAAATTCAAGAGTTTTTACTGATATTTTGGACCTCAACCCTGATTTCATGATAAATGTGGGAGATATGCATTATTCCGCCAGAAATTACTCAAAGTTGGAAACATTTGTCCTAGCCTATCATGAAATATTCAAACAAAGAAATTAAAGAAATCTCTATTAAAGCAAGCCTTTGATTTACACTTTTGATGATCATGACTTTGGGTCAAATAATGCTGATGGATTAAGCGATTCACATGAATATGCGCATTAAGCCTATAGGGTACTTTAATTACATATTTATCTTCTATAGGATATAATACCTAATTATGGCATTTAAGATGATATGGGCATTTACCAAAACTTTAAAGTTGGGAAGGTAAACTTTATTCTACTTGATGGTAGAACCTTTAAGAACACCTACTATAAAGATACAAACATGTAATATTTTATCATTAAGAATTTTAACTATTTAGTACAACAAATCTTGGAGATAGATAGATGAAATGGTTGGAGGAATAGATAATTCAATCAGCAAAAGATGATAATATCGAAGGAGTGATACTTCTTTCATCTTTGCCTTGGAGTTCAAAAAGAGAATGGAATGTAACAACTACATATCATGAAAAGGAAAAGATAGGCAAACTGATAGAGGAGCTTGGCTTTAATACTGGAAAATTGAATAATAAATTCCTTGCTTTGATTTCGGGAGATTATCATCTCTTATCTTATGATACAGGACTTAGAAACGATGATGGAAACTTCCCAGTATTTCAATGTTCCCCTTTGGATTCAAAACCAACATGCAAGTCAGGTGGATTTGAGGGTGATATTATCCTTTAAAGAGGAGGATTTTGTCAATTCAAAGTTGATAAGCATAGGACATAACCTAATAGAAGCTGTCTTGGTTTCAAAGGATACATTCATGATAAAGTTATGATGACCTTCAATACTTGTGATGAACAATTAAAGTTGGAAATGGATGAGAAGCTACAAATTTTAGCACAAGTAAGAGACGATGAAACAATACCTTAAATAGAGAGATCTTAAGCAGGAGTGCTGCATGACATGATTTTAAATGGCTCTATCTGTCCTGCCACACCAATGGTAAAAATATAGGCACTTTTCGCTTTATTTGGGCTTTTCTTGTTTATTATTGCCACTTATAACATCATGAGAAACATCTGTTATGTTAGAATAGAATGAGAATAATTTGCCTTTGCTGAATCTCCAATAAATTCTTAACTCTTTTAATTAAATTAATTTAATAATTCTTATAATGACATTGAATTTTCAAAATAAGATCGTTTTCCCAGCACCTGAGAGTAGTTATACCACGGAAACTGCTTATGGCCAAGTCATATACATTCCGCGAAATCTATTATCATAGACAGAAAAATATAAGATTAAAATGAAAAATTACAGCTAGTCAGTTTTCAATTCTTTGCAATCATCATCACGATCAGAATCAAATTAATAACTTCTTGGCTAAGGTATGAAATAATAATGGTTTAAAGCATTATACTATAGGCAAGAGTGATGAACAAAAGACAACGGTGAGTGAAAATTTTTCCGAATTCGATGAGGACAAAAAGCTATTCACTCTTAATGAAAATAAAATAAGCAATAAGTTTGAGGATCATATGGCTAGGACGTAAGACGAATAACTGAAAGAGTCCGATCTAGGAGCTCATTATTAATCTGCAAGATAAACTTCTACTACTGGGACTTTATTTGGAAATAGCAATTAATCATCTACAGGTTCCTAATCAGTTGATGATTTGATCCCAGGAGCTAAGCCTTAGTCAGAACCTGATGTTGAATCTATTCCATGTCTTTATATGCCCTAGGATGATGGTGCAAAAAAGCTTGTAATCTATTTCCATGGTAATGCAGAAGACATCGGACTAGCTTTCGACTTATTATATTAATTTGGGAACGAAATGAGAATGCACATTCTTGCAGTTGAGTATCCTGGCTACGGACTCTACAAGACATCTGCCCCTGATGAAAACAAGATTAAAGAAGACGCTGATATTATATTCGATTATCTCACTAAATTTGTCGGAATTAATCCTATTGATATAATACTATTTGGCAGATCTATGGGAAGTGGACCAGCTACTTACTTATCTTCCAAAAATAAGGCATTTAGTTTATTGCTAATGTCTCCTTACACTTCTATAAAAGATGTCTCAAGAAGCCTGCTAGGAAAGTTAAGTTTTTTATTGACCCCAATTGTCTATGAGAGATTCAGAAACATTGATATGATGAAAGATGCACAGTGTCCTGTATTTTTCCTTCATGGCCTAAAAGATAAGTTAATTCCTCATTCTCACAGTATGGATCTCAATTAGGCTTGCCCTATGATTTCCTATATGCATCTTCCACCAAATATGGACCATAATGAATTTGATTTCATAGATGATTTAGTAAATCCTTTCAAGGAATTCATAAGAAGACTAGGAGACTAAAGTAAGAATAGTATTAGAAGAGAAAATGAAGAAAATAAAAAAACTGATGAACAAAGGCTGTAGGAAAACAGCTCATCTGAACCTCTATAACTTAATAAATTCCAATTCTCTGTTTTTGTTAATGACGGAATTATAACTCACTAGAGTGATATAGATAACAGCTTTGTTGATTATGATCCTAAGACACAGACATTTGAAATATCCTTTGAGAAAAAACTTTATGAACCTCCTAAGATAATAGTAGAGGATGAGAAGAAGAAATTAGAAGCTGTCAAGTAAAAATCAGCTGCATAAAAGAAATGAGAATGTCTATATACTACAAAATAATCAGGATAATACTATCAAATCATCTAATTTTCTCATTCTTTAATAATTTGTGTTTCTCATAATCTTGGGGTTTTGGGGTTTTGGGGTTTTGGGGTTTTGG